TAACTGCGTCTAAAAGAAATAGCGGAAAGCCGATGCACTCCTCAGTAACGCAATACACGAATATTAATTATTTTGTATATTTATTTTTCGAAAGCATCAATTTTTCGTCWATCATACTAAATAATCTAGTTATCCCGTAAGATTTATGAAAGTATATTAATTGGTTTTGAATTTTATTTAAAAACGATTATTTTACATTTTTAATTATATTTTTTCACTTYTATGTCATTATTATTTATTTCAAATACATAAAAACTCTAATTCCTTTATAATATTACCTTTGTATTAATCTTCAAACATTTTTTGTTTTCAAAACTTTGTAATATTTTGAGTTTGGGTGTTCAAGTTTTGGATGTGCTTATTTAGTATAGATATTATTGGTTGTTTTAATGGTTATAGACACAAAATCTGATAGAATGAACTATAAAACTTTACTATACTTTTATAATTAATATATACAATATATATGTATATACTATATAGTATATACCTAGTTATATAATACAAATGTTGGTAGATATTGAAATTGAAATATGTCTATTTCAAAATGACTAAGATTAGAAAATAATTTTATAATACTATGATACAATTGTAAGTGACTAACATGTAGRCATATAACATATGATATGATATTGGTTAATAAGAATATAATATATACATGACGTATTTCTTTTTATATAGTATTATACATACGAAGATGGAATTTTTTTAATTTTTCTATTCCACTTCGACCTTTTATAATTCATAAGAGACCGATGATGACAATTGTTTGCAAGTCTTGTCTCTTACTTTTCAGATCAAATAGTAATATTATGTGTTTTGTTAATTTTCTAGCCCAACCGAACACTTCGGCGAAAATATGGCAAAGAACATATTCCGAAAGGCCATGGACTTGGGACGGAGTAAAAAGGACGTGAATGCTTGTCATTTAGAGTATAAAAAATGCAGATTCAACACAAGACAAATGTTTAAATTATTCACTTCGTTTATGTGACCCGGACTCGTCATTCTGCATCCATTTGGTTTTTGTCAATTCGATGCGAGCCTGTAAATTATGTGCCAAATACGTGTATTCTTACTATTATTATTATTACTATTATTTTTATTAATATTGCTGTTATTGTTATTAAACAATTTAATAGTCAAGTTGTGTATTATGTATTTATGTGTTATTAGCAAAGCTGGGCGAGTTAGTAATTTTTTTCAAACAAAATAAAGTTAATACTTAGTTAATCATTTTAAAATCAATAAAATTAGATTTAATAATACCTTACACTTTTTTAAAAAAGTTTTCAATGAATGTAAATTTGAAATTAGTTGATATGACTATCTAAACTACATACAATTATGTGCCTTTAATCTGATATTATAAGTGCTTCAAATGTAGAAAAAAAATTTATATAAGAAATTAACCCAAATTTTAGTATATAATTTGCTGTATAGGTACTGAAAAAAATATTTTTATTTTTAACGCATTTATTTATAGTTCAATGTATTATACTCCAAAATGTTGCGAGAAAATTACTAAATAGTTATTCTTACTGACTAAGTTATAAAGTTACCATAAAAATAACTATACCTCTAATTAGTTAGTGCTCAGCTTTGAATTGATCGTATACTTTATATATCTACGTCTTGTTGTAATTAACAGAGTAATTATTACTATATTTTGTTATTGTTATTGTTATCATTATAGTGGACATGGCACCATATAATATTATCATTAATAATATCTTATAAAATATTGTTTGATTAGATGTTGCACAAATATAAATATATATTTTTTGAGAACTTCAGAGGAAAAAATAATWATTTTTTTATTGTGGGATAAATGGATAAATTTGATTTTCTGTTCTTGAAGACATTTTAACCGAATACTAATTAAGTTCTAGTTTGTTGAATCAGAGCATATTTTAAGTAATTTTCACTGGTTAGCACTTCAATAAAATTGTCTACCAGAGGAACATAGAAAGAAAATC